ACAATATGAATAAAGATAAGTTTTTGTTTTGTCTTTATTCATATATATATATATATATATATATATATGTGTGTGTGTGTGTGTGTGTGTGTAACAAATTAACAAGGTGACAATTGCCCCTTTGGTCCAAAAACTACATGGGATTTAACAAAATTTTCACACAATGATGGCAACAGTTATATGTGAATGCTGTGTAAAAACTGTAAGGTTCTACACAAGTGTAAACAAACCACAGCCATTTACATGAGTAACACAATACTTCAGTGTTCCAAATTATTAATGAGTGACTTCATAATCATGCAATTACGGGTCATAATTGTGAGTTAACCACTTCTGAGAAGTCTGTTATAGCATCTGAACTTTCAGATGTAAATCAACATTAGAATTATCAAAAATGATTGGAAGATATCACCAAACTTTAAAAGGTTTGTTGCAGCTTCTACAAAGGTACATAAGAGAGCTGATAAGGGTCACTCATAAGGAGTTTCCCAATGTTCTGTCACAAATTAAACTTGAAGCTATAAATAAACTAGTTCACAGATGAATCTCATGTTACTACTGATGGCCCTGATGGCTGAAGCAAAGGTTGTATCATAAACAGACGACATCGTCATCAATGCTTGAGACGCCAACAAGGAGGAAAAGGTATCATGATTTGGGCTGGTATTATTGGAGGTATCATGATTGGTCCATGGAAAGTGCCTGATGACATTAAAATGACTGCATGCTTATCTAGCCTTCCTGAGAGAGCAAACTGAACCTTGGTTGAAAAAGCAAGGGATCATGTTCAGGAGAACCATCATATTTATGCAAGATAATGCTCCCTCACATGCAGCACATAAAACTACTGAGTACCTGCAACAATTAGGTTTCTTTGAACCTCAGAAAATAAACTGGCCGGCCAATTCTCCAAATTAAACTCAATCAAAAACATGTGGGGCATTCTGAAGTGACAGGTTTACAAGAATGGATGCCAAATTTAGAAGCAAGGAGGACATGTGGCAAGCAATAGTGAATGTATCACATGGAATTATAACAGAGGAGATTCAGAAATTGACATGTTCCATGGACCAGTGCTTTATCCATGTTATTTCAAGAGGCTAACATATCCCTTATTATTTATTTATGAACTCTGTGTACTTGTTGATTTCTATTTATTTCATGTCAGTTACTGCATGTATCCATAACAATCGATATATGAAGCAATTAAAGCATTATTTTCTTATTTACATGAGTTTTAATTACACCTCACTAATAATTTGGAAGAGTTATAATTTAAGTAAATTAGGTAAATGACCATAGTTTCTGTGTATATAATCCAACCAAATATTTATTAAACCTGATAAAACTACTAATTTTTACAAATTTAAACCCAAAGAATACAATACATTAATCAAAAACAATTTGACTAAGAATTATAAGATAGATATTAACAATATTAACTGTTTGATAAAATTAACACCTCTTCTAGAAATATTACTGATAAACTTCCTACGAGGATCATAAACCCTACCAGACCAGAAATCAGAAGGATTAGCAAAGTTATCCTGGATCAGGTCAACAAACAGATCAAGCAATGCTTTGAACTTATACATTGGATTAGTACCACAGAAGTCATTAATTGGTTTAGAGCTATTAGTAACAAAAGCATCTACTGTTTTGTCGAGTTTGATATGGTTGATTTTTCCCCTCCATCACCAAGGATCTCTTTACCCTGGCTTTGGAATTTATCAAAGAATATTCTAACATCTCCAGTGAAATTAAAGTTAGACCATAAGTTTCTCCAATTGATTGATAAACATTTTCCTAAAAGTAACCTTCTTAGTAAAATATTTAACAGAAACATATTAAAACTAAGTTATAGCTGCACCAATAATCTTGAGAAGATTATAAAGTTATATAATAATAAAATTTTAAACCAAATTAATAATCTGGATCATAATACACATTCCAAGATAAATATTAATGATAATGGCCAATGTAATTGTACAAATCCTGACCAATGCCCATTGCCAAACAAATGTTTAACTAAATCTCTTGTTTATCTTTGTACTACAATAGAGAATCTGACAGTTGAAAAATTCTATATTGGTAGTACAAAGAATTCTTTCAAGACTAGGTGGTATCAACATATCTTGTCCTTCACCAATAGTACTTACAGAAATAATACATCACTTTCTAGATTTTTTTTGAGTTTAAAAGATGATAATAAGACTCCAAAGATGAAATGGAAAATTTTAAAAATGACAAGGATATGTAGATCTTTATATGAGCCCTGTTTTCTGTGCTTACATCAAAAACTGGAAATTATCAGATTCAGTGCAAATTCCTTATTAAATCAAAGAAATGAATTAACAGTAAATTGTAAACATAGTTTATCTTACAATTTAGTTAAACTTTGGAATTTAAACATAGGTCATATTTGATTGGTGGACCAAAGCAAAGCCTACAAACCTTATAATCCCACTTTTTCTTTTTTCGTAAAAAGAGGTTGTATTTTGCTTTTAAATCTAAATAAATAGTTCACTCACCAATAATTTACAATCACCTGATAAGATGCATTGATCTGCATTGAAACACAACTGTAATTGTGTAGTAATTTTGACACGTTTTCGGTGTAATATCATATATATATATATATATATATATAGTTTCATGGAAACCTGTTTTATTGACACCTGTTTCATTTGCATTGGTTTTATCATGTTTCAATCACTGACTGCTGCCATTCTTTAGAATGTCTGAAATACTGAATAGTAACTCCAAGTTTCTCTCAAAAATTTAGAACATAAATTCATATAATACAAAGTCTCAAGTATGGAGTTCCAATTTATTACTAAATAAAATTCCTTAATAATAGGTTCTAAGATGAATTTATTTCACATCACCTGTTTGTTCTTGGATGGAATGATTTTAGCATTGACTATTAGAATTATTGTCTAATTAAGCTTAAAGATTTTCTAGTTGAAACAATGTGAACTTCCTGGTAGGATTTGTAAAATAATAAACTTTCATAACATCAAGAAATAAGTAAAAAGACAGTATCTTCTCTACTTTCTAATCAACAGAATCATATAAACATTTATGCAAAGTTACTGTATTTGCTGGCCAATTGAATACAGATTTTTTTTCAAAAAATTACCCTGCATCCAATATAGCAGTATCATGTATAAGTGGGACATGAAGACCACACTGATATCCATAAAAAATTCACCCAGAAATTAAGAAATTTATAGAATTGCACATTATTTTGCTACTTGTTTTGTAGAAACACCAGATTTTTACAGAAATATTTGCTTTGATTGGTATATTGCTGCTTGCTTTGTACATGCTTTTGTTGATATAGAGGTATTGGAATTTGCTTTTCTGCACGCATGGAATGGGACTTCATTTACCAACAAGTACCATATTTCTGCTTTCTTTGCCTGTTACCATATATACAAGTGTTCACTGATACCAGCAGATTTATTTGTAGCTATTATGAATTTAATCTATGTGCAGATGTTGCTCCCTGAAAAACAATTATAACAATTTTCAATAAATGCATGATTAAATGTACTAAAATTCTTCTTTTCCAAACAATGTCCTTGTAATTAAATGTTACCTCACTTCTATTAAAAAAAAAAGTACCAGTAGTATAATTTATGCTAATACTGTAATTGTTTCTTCTTGGTTAGTGAGAATGTCACATAGGGCAAGGTTATAATTTTGATTTTTTTGGTTGTGATATGTGCATTTTTTTCTTGTAAGTATTCCATGCCAAAATAGTAATAGTTCTTTATTTACATTCTGGCTGATATCCTTTTTTTTCTTACTGTTTCAGCTGTTCTTCCCATTGTTCCTCCTCTGGTGTATATTGATCCCAATAACCAAGACAATAGCCTAGTGCATTAAATTGTCAGTTCTGTCAAAATGTTATGATAACAATAAAGATGAAAATTTTAATCTGATTGCAAATAAAACAAATAACTTCCTATTCTAGAAATTCAGACCTTAATCATTTTTAATTTTTTTTATTAAACTCTCAGTCATTCTTTTTTGTTTTACAGGGATGGGGATGCAAAGAAAAGTGAGTAAAATGTGCAGTTGTTATGAGACAGTAGTTGTCATTCTTGCCACATGTCACTAGTCATAATATTTTATCTCATCAGTTTATATTATTAGGTTGAGTCATAAACAGATTCCACTTATCATGAAGCCCATTGATACATATAGAATAAAATAGCACAGTGAGAAAGTTTTTGAATCTGGTTTTCCTTAGAGAAACTTTTAAAGCATTTTGAAGAGATTGAAAAAAGTACTATTCAGTTGGTGCAAGTTTAGGTAAATATGGTGGGTGGGGGTGGAACAAACCAACCAAGTTCCAATATTTTTTCTTCTGTTATTCTTGCTGTGTGTGGCCTTGCATTATCATTTTCTCATTGACATCAATAATGTGCTTTTCAACCAAACTTTTATGGACCTGTTGCAGCTGCTGGATGCATAAATGTGCATTTAGTGTTTCAGTGCATTTTTAGAACTAAATTAATAATAACCTGATGATTCCACTACACACACAACCTTCTCTGATTGCTCAGTTTTTAGGATCAATTGTCAATTCCTTGTTTTTTTACACAGAACATTGTTGTATGCAACCCATTTTTCATCACATGTTATTGAAGGAATGTTTAATTAGAATGATGCATTCATCATTACAAATGGTTCCCAAAAACAGAAATTAATTAGGATACAACTTAATATAATACTATCACTAGTCATTGCTCAATGTTAGCAAAATGTTAGAATTGTTTTTAAGGATTACTCAGGTCTTTCTTGCTTCTTTATTCTATTAAGTCCTGTAGATTGTTTACAAAGAAAATTCTGAAACTCAGAAAATGGGTTCCATATATAAGGAAAGGAATATTGACCAGTCTTTTAATACATGTCTTTCCTTGAATTCCTTGTTCTGAATTCATAGCATAAAAAAGTACATGGATTTTTTTTTTTTTTTTTTTACTTACCTTGAGTTTATAGATGCAGTAACAATTCTGATTGATTCCCCAGTTACAGAATTACGTTTTCCTGATCTTCCTCTACCTACAGCAGGTGGCATCTCATCTCCAGCATCTGAATATGCATCACCTTCATCCTGATCAAATGAATTGCTTCTGACCTTTCCACCTAAAGTTTGAGAAGGAATTTTGGAATTGGTTTCCACAGAGTTTGTATTGTAGACATTTGACTTCATCACAAGAGCTGGGGCTTCAATTTCACCTTGAAGTAAAAATGAAATTTCCAAATAAAAAAAAAAAAAAAATCAGTTAAGATTTTGTTTTATTTATTATCTAATTAATCAATAAGTGTTTCAAATGATTATTTAAAACTATATTTATGACATGATTGTTTTGAGTGGAAGGATAAAACATTTTTATGGCTTTTACCAATATGTGGGAAGAACTACAAATATTTGATATAATGGAGCACACTGGAATGCCTGCTTTGTGGAGTTTAGATAGATCATAAAGTTTGGGTATTCTAGGGGATATTCTATTAGTTTACATCACAATTTGTTTTTATTATTAATTAGTTTTCTAATAGCTCTAATCTAAAACACAGAAATTTAATAAAACGATTAGAAAACTAATTAATAATGAAAGTAAATCATGGTATAAACTAGCAGAATAATCATCCCAAATGAACCATTATGTAGGGTCAATAGGCTTCTACCACCATGGTGTAAATGGGACACTGTAGTTATGTATGCAACCAGTTCAGTGATGACATGGCATCACTGGGCTTCCTAGACTGAAGTCAACAGTCAGGGCCAAGTCTTCCCCCAATGAAATCAACAACCACATGTCTGTGACCAAGGTGATCCTTCAAATTGGAGGGATGAACACTGCCAGATCTACTTTCCCAAGACATGCTACACATGAATAACTACTTCAATGGCTTTCAATCCAAATATGTGGAGAGAACTGATTAAGTACTCAGTTGTGCAGCAACCATACCTGATCATGGGACTGATGATGATAATAACTATTACTTTGTGCTCCATCTTATCATCAACATTTCTTTCACAAAAATGGTTAAGGTAACATCTTAAAAGTAAATCTCATTGGATCCATCTTCTTTATTTTCCAGTTGCAGGCTACTGTTACAGAATGCAGAGGATGGGCCAGGATGGTCAGTAATTGGTTAGAATACCTTGTGGGCATGGTATTCTGATAGTGATGAATAGTCTTTGTCCATGTTTTGGATATAAAAATCAAAACAGCATGAAATCAGTAGGAGCCTGCTGGAATTTTTGTAGTGAATAGCTTAAGTATATGTGGGGAGGTGTCAAACCTATGAGTGAGCATGCATCCCCTTGAAGTTCTTTCTCCTACTGCTTCCTACAATCAATGCTACTTTTTCTGTTCCTTTCTAATAAAACAAATAAGAAAAGAAACTGTCTTTCGTTGATACTATCTATGAAGTAGCAGTGAGGTCTGAAGGGGCTGAAGCCAGTGATGACATGGAATGCAGCACTATTTGCACTTAGTCATCAAAGTGTTTATCAGTACAGAATAAAGAGTTTTATGGTAAAAATCAACAATAATAAAATGAAGTAAAGCTCATAACAAATAAGTAAAAATATTGAAAAAATTTCATCTGAAAGTTTCAGCTTATTCGTTGTTCTCAAAACACCAAATGTAAGAAAATGAATGCAGTCAAACATCTGTTTAAAACTGCTCGCTTGAAATATTTTATCTGCTGTCTCTTTCAAACTGTATTTATTCAGGGAAAATTATTGGTTTGCAGGTTAAGTCATGTACTCAAAAAACATAAACTGCTCAAATGATTCTTCCCAAGAAATAGGTTATTCGAATGAAATGGAAATATATTTTACAAATGCCATTTGTTACGTATTTTTATTGGGACCAAATACATCAAAAGATTTTGGAAGGATTTCAGAACATAGATGTGATTAACGAGAATGTGATAAAATAACTTGTAACATTTTTAATAAAAACTTTAAAAATCAATATTAAATTTTGGCAAAATAAACAAATAAGATTCAAATTATAGTAGACACATTATCCAAATATATTCTATTAATTAATCAATTTCAGACAAAAAAAAACCTCTTTTTATTGAAAATTAATTATAAGATATGATATCCTGACTGCATCAATACCAACTTAAAATATAATTTAATTAACTTTAGTGAAAAGATAACAATTCATACAGCATTTAAAATATACAACCACTGGCAAAAATTTCCTTTTACTTTGCAAATGAGTTGAATATTTTTACAAGGCCAAATTTACATCCCCTCAATCTTCCACAAACTGATGACAATTCCTAAAGAATCCAGTTTGAAAAGTACTAACATATGGTTCCAAGAAGCTGACTTTGAGGCAGAATAAGATTTTAAGAGTATTATTTAAAAGTTGAATTTACAGATGTAATATAACCTTAATTTTTAATTTAATAGCTTCTGTGAAATTAGTAATAACTTCCCAGGAAGTTTATATCAATGTGATTTCATTAATAATGTTAATATGTTCAACAGTTCAGGAAATGATTTTTTGTTCTTTTTATTTAATTTGACTTACCAATTTAAAAACATCAGTTTCCTGCAAAAGGAATCAAACCTATATAGTGTTAACTAATAAGTTTTAGGAACTCATTTTGAAACCTGCAAAAATTATTTTTGCAATTAAAGACAAAATTACTAAATGGAAAAAAAAGAAAGAAAAAGAAAGAAATGAATAACATGCTGAAGACAAAACAGAGAAGAAAAATTAAAAGACATGCTGAATTATAAAAGAAAGCTGAACAAAAATCATTGAAAAGTACCAAAAATATATCATAGTATTTTACATAACCTTTAACATGTTTAACAAAAGAAAGGGTTGCTCATTGTCCAAGAATCATTTGAAATTTTTGTCTGAAATTATCATGAGGAATTATCATTATTTACATTATTATACATGCAGACTATTGTCTCTATCTTTTTTGTTGTTATCACAATGTTTCAGCCATTGTGCCCTCCAGACTTCATCAGGTGCATGCCAATCTAAATAACCTTCAGAGAATTTCAAATGGAACATTTTATTTAATCTACAAGGGTAGATTATTCTTGTTCCACTACCCATATTCAGACATACCTCATCCAGTTCTTAACAACAGAAAAAATGAGGACAACAGTCAGCTTGTAAATAATTTAAATAATGATTTGGAATTGATAAGAAGAAAATTAGGAATTCATTTTCATGAGTTTTATAGTTCAGAACCACATTTCACTCCTTATATCCCAATATATTGCCCCAGCAAAACTCTAGATGACCAAAGTCTATTAGCTGATCTCTCTTCTGACTTAGCTCTAACAGTCCAACAGGGGGGAAAACTGGCTTGTAACTTTCAATACTTCAAAACCCAAGTTAGTGACTTTTCATCATCATCAAGCAGTTCCCTAATTTTCTCTAATCATGAAAGATGGTTGTATTCTCAAAGAATCTGTTTGCTTTGAACATCTGTTGGAACTCAAGTTCACTCCAGATCTCAAACTGGACTCATATATTGAACTAAAGATGCTGGCAAAATGGTCATTACCAGAAAACACAAGGGTAAATTAAAAATTATCTGCACTTTTGCCATAACATATCTTTAGGTTTGTTACACTGCTTTCTGCTCATGCATGCATATAGTTGCTACTATTGTGGTCATATAATCAAAGTTTCAGATTAATCACACCATTTTTCTTGCTGGTGTTACAGTGTAAACATGGCTGCTCTGCTAGAAGTGTGCACCAAGGAGGAACAAAGAACAGTGATCCAATTTCTCTGGTTGGAATATGTGTCAGGGGCTGATATTCATCAGAGGCTTTTAGCACAATACACTGACAATGCACTACCAGGTAGAAATGGATATGAGTGGATTGAGAAGTTTAAAAGTAACAAGTGAAACATGATGTATGAAGAAGGAGCAGGATGCTCATCAAATGTCACCACTGATGAGAAGATTCAGCTAGCTCGAAGGATGATAATTACAATCCAGTGAGTTATCATCAATGTGGAAGGATGTTCACTGCAAGTAAAGAACATCCAGTGAGAATCAAACTCTCTACTCAGTAGTAATTATCAGCAAGACTGGTTTACTAACCATTACAACAG